TAAATTTATTTTATTTAGTTAAAAAATTATCTTAATTTTCTATTCTATTGTGATAATTTTATATTTCTGTGTGTTTTAATTTATTTAAATTATTAATAATATTTTTATTTTTTATGTTTAATGAAAAACGCTGGAATAGACTAATGAGATTGAGTATATATATGTCCTATGTGGATACTCTCATTGGCCTAAGACATCAACACGGACAACAACTAATATTTTTTAAGTTAGCTGTTCAGATTTTAATTGTTTGTGGTGATTAAAATTTTAAAATAATTTAATTATGGTTTTAAATACCATTTTTAATAATTTTGTTCAATATATATGATTTTTATTTCATAATCTATTTATATGTTAATTTACCTTTTTATTGTTAATAGGAAAATAAGATTTATTTTTAAAATTTCTATTTTATTAATAACTAACTTAAAATTTAGAAACTTTCCTAATAACAACAAAAGCAACATTAACTAAAATTTAGAATTTTTCTTTATAACTATTAAATTGAATTAATTAATTTTAATATTTAATATATAATTAACTTAAATTAATGATGATGTGTACCAATAAAATTGAATCTTTAAATCCTATGTGGACATCCTTAGAGGCATTTAACATCAACTTTTATTAGTAATACACTAGGTTAGCGCGAGTATATATTATAAATTGTTTAATATATATTACTTACATAATTTTTATATTAGTTAAAATACTAAAGTAATTTTTTATATAATTTTTGGTTACAAAATTTTATTTAATCTTTTCTCTATAATTATTTTTTATATAAATTTCTATGATTATATATAAATTTTTTGTCTAATATGTGTTTTATATTATGAATTCATCCTGAAATAATCTCGATGTGGTCGTAGAGCATGCATGTTTAATTTAGAGAATAATAGTCTTCTTGCTAAGATTGTTGTAATTTTTTTTGTTTTTTGCGATTTTGTAGTAGTTTTGAAATAAATTATATCGATTTTAAATTTCTCTTGAAATAAATATTACAAATAATTTTCCAAGTTGCTGCATTTGAGTTCGGAAACAAACTGAAATTGTCTTTCTCTGAGGTTTATGTATTCAAATCTTTGGTTAGTTGATTAAATATCTGATTAATATTATATATCTATGCATCTATTATCTCTGGTTTATATTAATCCTAATTTTTGTTTAAAAAATTTAGAAATGCTGTTCTATCAAATTTTTAATGTGAATACAAAGTGTAATATGAATTGGTTAGAAAATGGAGAGTATCTGATTGTTCAAGATTTAATTTATTAAGTTCTATAGGAATGTGTTTGAAAAAAAAAGGATATCATGCACACTCCTATGAAGCTCAATCTATAAACTTGCATATAAGAAAAAACTCCAGAAAAATCCACATGGTAATTTGAAAATTATGTTTGATGTTGAAACTCGTAAAATTTATTGCAACTTCACCTAGTAATTTTTAGTTGATATCAATACTTTAGAAATAAAATATTTTGTAAACTAAATTTTATAATTATTTACTTTTAGAAGTTATTTTTGTTAGTATAGTTTTGTTTGCCATTCATTTGATATTTTAATTTGGTATGTATGATTTTTTAGTTATTAATTTTTTTTTGTTAATTAAGCTTTATTGTTGTTGTTAGTTAGGCTTTTTGATGATTTTTAAAAGAGTTAGCATACACATGAGTTAATTTTTTTCTATGTGATTTTTGTTTTGTTTTTAATTTGGATTTTTGATATTAATTTCTATTTTATTCAGAAAATTACAATTTGTGAATATCATTTCTAATTGAATTTGAGTCGACAAAAGTATGCGCTACTTATTAAAAAATGTTTCATATCACATGTTCCTTTCAAATTTCATATGAAATATTTTTAGTTTAATTTTCTTTATCTTTTGTTTCACCGTTAGTTTTATTTATTTCCTACACTTAATTGTTTTTATTTTTAATAAAGTACTGATAAATATCATCTATCATATCCCTATAACATATTTGTTTTTTAAAGAACTTTATAACATATTTGTTTCATAAAAAAATTGAACACAAACCACAATTAATACTATTTTAAGTTAACAATTCACAATTTTAATTATTTTTCAGGATTTAGATTTTCAAATAGTTTAATTATGATCTTAAATATAGTTTTAAATTATTTTGTGTAATTTATATGATTTTACTAAATAATTTTAAAATATGCTAATTTTTTTATTGTTAATAAACATAAGATCTAATTTTTGTATTTTCTGAAACAATAATTTAGAATTTATATATAAAGTTCTCAACAAAATAACATCTTATATAGAAATAATATATTTTACTTTGTAAAATGTCTTACTAAAATACCATATACTCACTATGTTTCATTTTAATTAATCATCAATGTTTTTTTGTCCGAATGTTTTTGATTTTCTCTTATATCTATATAATTTTTTAATTTATTTTAATCTATAATTAATTAAAAAACATTTTACTCAAAGAAGTTTGAAAGTCTTTTTACCAATGGCTAACAATTTTTACGTTAAAACATTAGTTATTTTCTTAACTTATTATTTACTATTTGAATTCACCGAGAATACATTCATTTATTTTGACTATTTTCCTTCCATTTTTATTCTATCTACTATTTTAATTCATTTATTAAATAATATTTTTTTATATAAATTAATTTAGTTAATTTGTGTACTGTTAGCTAGAATGAGTTCAAATATTTATATTTCTGTTTTGAATTGAAATAAATAAATAAAAGTCAATCAATATTTCAATAGTACATATCTTTGAAATACATGAGTTTTGGATATACCAAATTCTAATTGAGATTGCATTTTATCATGTCAAGATATAGTTTAGATAGCAAAATTATATTTGTCTTTGTAAATGCTACAAAAATAACATAAAATTGTCTAGATCATAATTTTTCTATTTGTCTTTAAAGTTTTTTTTTTATAAGAATCTGTATGTCTAATTTAAAAATATTTTTGTCTCATCAAGCATTTATAATTTAATATACCAAAAAACTACTTAAAAGTGTAAAAATAATAATAATCAAATTTTATTTAATAAATATTAACATGAAAACACACAATAATACTTTAATTATTCTAACCTAAAAACCTAATTTTTCTCATCATATTTAGCTATATTCTAGATATGTATTGGTTGTTTCAAATCATATATGAATATTGTTACCTTTAAATAGTTTTATAACCAACAATGGTGATAAAATTATTGTAATATAATAAATAAAGTATTCTTTAAACATGAGTTTATTTATATTATATGTAAAACAATATTTTATTATTATTTTTGGATAGTCTTTATATAATTAAAATTGTTATTTTTAATTACTATATTTTTCTAATCTTATATTAATTTGATTTTTAATTAATCTTATATTTTATTAGTTAGTATAATATTAGAATTTGGAAATTTTCTTAATAAGTTGGAAAAAATAATTAACTTAAAAATATAATTAATTACAAAAAAGAAGTGGACCAATGAAATGATGTTTTTATAATTTATATATATTTATAATTTAATAATCTGTTAATTTTATTTTTATTGTTAATAGAAAAATAAGATCTAATTTTTATACTTTTTAAACTCATTTTTGTTATAATTATCTAAAAGTTTAGAAATTTTCCTAATAAAAACAAAACAAAATTAATTAAAATTCAGAAACTTTATTAATAACAATAAAAACAAAATTAATTAGTTTTAATATATATAATTAACAATAGATGATGATGTGTACCAATAGAATTAAATTTTTAAATTCTATGTGGACACCCTTAGAGGCATAAAACATCAACTTTTATTAGTAATAATTTAAAATAAAATTAAAATTAATTTTAATATATGTATAATTAACTATATGTGATGATGTGTACCAATAGAATTAAATCTTTTAAATCATATGTGGGCACCCTTAAAAGCCTATAGGATCAACTTATATTTTATTAGTTAGTATAATATTAGAATTTGAAAATTTTCTTAATAAGTCAATAAAGAAAATAATTAACCTAAAAATATAATTAATTACAGAAATAATGTGGACCAATGAAATGATTTTTTTATAATTCATATAATTTTTAATAATCTAATAATATGTTAATTTTCTTTTTATTGTTAATAGAAAAATAATATTTTTATTGTTAAACTCGTTTTTATTTATAATTATCTAAAAATTTAGAATTTTTCCTATTAACAACAAAAATAAAATTAATTAAAATATAAAAGCTTTACTAATAACAATAAAACGAAATTAATTAATTTTAATATATAAATTAACTATAGATGATGATGTGTACCAATAGAATTGATTTTTTAAATCTTATGTGGACACACTTAGAGGCATTTAACATCAACTTTTATTAGTAATAGATGCTGAACAAAAATTAATTATATTGATTAAGGTTTATTTGGAGTTTTGTAACCAAATTCGAAGCGACACTTGACATCATTTTTCTTAATTAATTTCCAAAACACAAGCCAAACTTGTTCTTATTTTACTTCAATTATAAGCAACTTCTTTGAAGCTATCTTAGGTGGATTTCTTCATCTCCAGAAAACCACACTCGATCATCTAAGTTTTGCTAGGGCTTGGATGTTTCTTTGCGAGGGAAGGCTTTTTTAAACTCTGTTTTAGCTGCCTTGCGATTCAAGCTAAAGACGGTGAGAAAACAAAAGGTATATATTGGAAGCCTTCAGAGTGAAAATAGGCGTGAAGATGCCTTCAAAAGGTATGTTCCGATTCGAATATCTTTGTGATATGTACATCCTCGAGTAAAAGTAATTGAATGTATGTATATTCTCTAGTAAATAGTAATCCCAAAAAGTAATTGTATGATGATGAAGGCAAATAAACAAAAACCATTAAGTTAAGTAAAGTCACAATAGATTCCAATCATTTATGATTTTGCTTTGCTTTTGTGCTCAAGAAACCAAAAGGAGTTGAGAGAATCTCAAGAAAGTTTGCTTAAAAGCATTACCTTTTCGTATAAATCCTCTTGCCTTTCACCATCTATTCACAAACACACATATACACATACAACTCTCAAAAAGCTCAAGAGACCTAAACAGAACAAAGATGCTTCATAGTTTAAGATTTCTTGTGTGTCTTCTCGTCATCATTCACACGGTCTGCGCCAGAGAGTTTGTGGTAGGAGGATCAAAGGGTTGGACTGTTCCCACAGATCATCAACTATACAATCAATGGGCAGAGCAAAGAAGATTCCAAATCAACGACTCTCTGCGTAAGTTCATAGTAAAAAACTCTTCTCGGTTCGATACATGTCTTATGGCATCAGATACTAATGGTCATGGACGATGCAGTTTTTGTCTACCGACCAAACCAAGACTCAGTGCTTCAAGTGACAAGAGACGCTTACGATAGCTGCAACACAGACGCAGCCACGGCTAAATTCACAGACGGACACACTTCCTTCACGTTTGACCGGTCTGGACCATACTATTTCATCAGTGGAAACAAAGAAAATTGTCACAAGAACCAGAAGCTTGTCATCATTGTCATGGCTGATAGAAGCAGCAGCAACACCACACCTCCTTCGCCTTCGCCTTCGCCTTCAGTAGAATCTTCACCATCTCCTACTTACACAGGAACCTTCGAAATAACACCGGCACCTTCACAAGACACTCCTGCAATCGCAGCTTACTCTTCTTCTTCCTCTGTTTTTCCTTTTTCATTCATTGTTACTCTGTTTCTTTCTCTTTTCAGCTAATGTAAATGATGATACAAAATTTATATAACCAATAGACCTAAATATAAATATGAAGGATAAAGAAAAGATCAAGAATCAAGAAGAATATAAAGATGTTCTAACGAAAATTGTTTCTTTATTCTTTCTCATTCTAAAACTGCTATTCCAAAAGTCTACTTGATGTCTTTTCTATGGTTTGATCTTACAAAAGAAACAGAATATAGTAAAATTTAACCAATCTTTCGTTCCTGATCAAATGTTTTTACCGAGCTCGACCTTTTTCACCATTCTGACTGTGCTTTGAAATATCGAATCTAGTATCCCCGCGACCTAAAATCCAACAAAGCAGAATCTTACTCTCACCATGATTTACACAAGAGGATGAAACAAAACAACACTGTGAGGGGAAAAAAAACACTATACCGTGAAAACACCACCTATGATGGCGCAAACATTTGTGATGAAGTGCGAGAATGACTTAGGGTTCTCGCTTATTAAGACCTGCAAAAAAAAACAGAACATGGATCAACTGTTAAGGTTTAAAAGAGGAGAATAGGCACTGAGATTGGTGAAAGATAAAAATGCGGAAACGAAATAAACCTGCATAGGAGAGAGCTGAAATTTAAACTTTGCAACGGGGTAATAGTAACCATGAGCCACATTGCTATGAGCTGTATACTCATACTCATCAATCAATGAGTGTTCTTGACCGAATCTTCTTGAAACGACCTCTGTTTTGACTATTTGAAGATAGTGTTCGATCTGTGATTTTTTCCCCACAAATTATAAGATAAACCTCAAGAGTAGGAAAGTAACTTCTTCAGCTGAAAAAATTTGTGGAGACTTACGGTAACATTAGCAGCAAACTGTCCTTGATTCACGAACCATTTTTCATTCAGCCTGTCATGGCTTAGGCCAAGATAAGGCAGTAATCGTTTCATATCAGTCAACAACCTTTCATCAATCATTCTACCAAATGAGAGATGAGAGACATAATGCGACATGTTCATTCGAGAAGCATCGAATGAATGAGCTCCTGAATGAGCCGAGATTACGATTTCACCCGGAACCTGAAAGCAAACAGTATAAAAGAACACAATAAGAAGAAGAAAGCAAACATCCAAAAAGCTCATAAAATCTGATATTCTGACATTTTGTTTATACCTTCTTGGCACGCACATAGCCTTCAATTCTACAACCTCCACTAAGTGGTGCCTTCTTAATAATTGAAGCTGCATTATGAGATTTACCATCCAAAGCTAACTTATGATCCTCCTTTTTGATAGGTACGAGCAGTCCTTCTACCATCTGCAAGAAACGAATATGAATTTTTCTTATGCAAAAAGGATGTGACCATTTGTATCATATTTATTCCTAATGCTAAGAATCTAATTCAGACTAGTCTACCTTGACTAGGCTCTCTGTGTCTCGATCTCCATAGTAAGATTCATGTTCGTGGTGACCATGATCCTCCCTTTAATAAGGTGTGGTGGATAAAATGGTTAAGTAGATGGCATAAAGAATCAAAACTGAAGCTAATGAGATAATTTGCTCACTTGAGGTCACTGCCTTTGCGGAAAATCCGAATAGAAGGGTAGCCTTGTATATGAAGCCTGATGATCTCATTTTTCATTAATTAGGCTAAGTCTAAACTGAAAGAAAAAAAAAAGTAATCTGAATAACAACAAAGAAAACATCAAACTTGGTTAATACCTCTTACATAGAGTAGGTTCTTGGGTGCAATCAACATTTCCTAGAAGAACACGCCCATCATCTTCAGGATCAAACCTGCAACATGAGATGTTCCAAAAAGTAAGTCGTCAGAAAAAAAAAAAGCGTGACTTGATGATCCTTCAAGGTTTATTAACATCTTGCAGGAGCTTAGCCTTTTCACACCTCTCTCTTATTATTTCAGCTGCTTTCTCCCAAGATGGTTTCTGAAAAATTTAGCAAAGATAACAAAAGAAACACGGTATAAGTGGAGAACATATAGAATCTATATTCAGAAACCTCTTGGAAATGTAGTACCAAATGAAAATTTATGAAAATGGACAAGTTGATACATTACCAGGCGATTACTCCAGTAGCACCACGGCGCATAAAAATTAACAACCAAAATCGGAAAACTGCATAAAGAACGCCTCATTTCATTAATGTGTCGTTAAGTACTCATCTCATAGTAGTATACACAAATATATGAAGAAGTCGCCAACTTACTGATGTGAAAACTGCTCAAAGGTAGCACCAGTCAATGGTATAGCAGCATAACTACTATTTTCATGATCTTCGTCTCCATGGTTGATGAGATGTAATCCAGTGCTAGAATGGAATTCCTCACCAGTGGCTCTTAAATGCGAATCGATTGGAATTTTTTTAATCGTTTTCGTTAGATTCAACCTGTTCTGAAGAAATTACTAACAAAGTTTAAACATAGGATATTATTTGACATAATCAATGTCATTGCACCAGCCGAGCTTAAACACCTAGCGTGAGTACTTATATCATACAGTATAAGAATCATTCTCTGCAATCAAAGAAAATGTCAAAGAAACTTACGGTTCCCAACACGTCGCTCACATCAACCGATGCAAATTCACACGAGAGAGCAGGAAAGCTACATAAAAATATTGAAAGCCATATAGATGTCAATATATCAAAAAACCACCAGGCATTGTAGAGAAGATTGAAACACACTTATGACATGATGTTGGTTTTGTTCATTCTAAGCCCATAACACATGATTTCATCTACCTGACGTTGAAATCAATGCGTAAGAAGTCCCCATCAGAGCTTTTGTCAACTATAACAGATGTGTCAGTGGTAACTGCCAGATAACTGCTAAGCTCCTGCAAGTTAAAAGGAACCATATCTCAGTAAAGACGCTAAAGAGACCATTTAGCTATTTTCTTCACACAAACAGAGGAGCAAGAAGAGATCAGAGGAAACAGGGAGGAAGAAAACAAGGCAAAGAGGATATTACCATTCCAAACAAAAACACCATCGCAAGGGCAGCTACAATGGATAATCCAGCACCAGAGAGAGATGCTTCTGTCAAATCTCTTGGGATTTTCCTGAAGAACCGAAAAAACGATCATAATTAAGACAACATAGATTACACACTCAGCTCTAAGTCCAGACAACAAAAGTACACATTTTTCAGAGTAATTATCCATAATCCGACGGCAAATTCATTAACCATGACGAACAGAGAAGACACGACCAATTTTCGAATGCCCCACAGTGCATAATCTGGCAAATACTGTCCAAATATATGAAAAGGTACAAACTTTATGCATGTACATGAAGAACCCAAAAAAGGATCATAATCAGGACGACACAAATTAACACTCAGCTCTAAGTCCAGACAACAAAAGCACACATTTTTCAGAGCAATTATCCATAACCCGACAGCAAGTTCATTAATCATGATGAAGAGAGAAGACATGACCAATTTTCTCGAATACTCACAGTGCATAATCTGGCACATACTGACCAAATAGATGAAAAAGGTACAAACTTTACGCATGTGCGTGAAATCCAGTGTCGAGATTTATCATCAAAAGCGGAACCCAAAAGATGAATTGCGAGAGAGGGGTACCTGTAGAAATCAACGGACTTGATCCTGGTGGCGGAAACCATGGCTTGCGAGGGAGAAGAAAGGAAGCTAACAGAGGCTTTATCTCCGAATCTGCTCCTAAAGCCGTTCGTGATCCCACTTACGCTGCTAAACTATGGTAGGAAGGAAGACGTTTCATCATTTAAAGTTTAGATACATTTCTGTTTCTTTGTAGGAGAAAAATAAAATAGGAAGGGAATCATCATAAGATTCGTATACTAAAATTAGAATTACGAGATTATGGAAGTTAAGTGTACATAATCGCCTGTGATCTTAGAGTTTGACCGTTGACCATTCTAAGGTTAAATTAAATACTGTATGTGTTAAAACGATGCCGTTGTAACGGTTCCATGAGAAACGACACCGTTTGCTGTGTCGTCAATCAAAGTAGCTAAACGACGCCGTTTGGTATGTTTATGGTCAACGTTTTTGGTTTACTTATTTTTTTTTGAGGATTCGTCATTTCGATCTCTCTGATTTAGAAAGTCAATCAGAAGTGGAAACGATGACGAGAGCTGTTCTACTCCGAGCTCTGACGAAGAAGAAGTTCGTTGTATCGAAGGTTCCTCGATCATTCTCCATCACCAATCTCTCTCGATGCGTAAGTCTCTTCTTCTTCTTCTTCTTCTTCTTCTTCCCTTTTCCCCCGATTCGACCTTCTTCGTTGGAATCAATCGTTTCATTTCCCGTAATTTCTTGTCTGTACTTCGTGTTGTATCTTTCTTGCTCGAAGATCGACTTGGAGCTGCACATTATTAGTCTTTTAATTGTTTCATAAGGAAGTGGTCATGATTTTCAATTGTTTCCCTCCTGGATAAAAAGGGGAACTTTTAAAAAATTTACTCAAGTTGGAGATTTTGATCTGGGATTTGAGAATAGTCCAAACATTTGTTGTTCTTATGCTGAGAATTCAACAGTAACACCTGCGTTTTGTAACATTTTTGGTTGATATAGATAAGCACTCTGATTCTAGCAGAACATGAAAGTGGTTCAATCAAAGCTCAGACAGTGAGTACAGTAGTTGCAGCGAATTATCTGGGTGAGAGCTCTTCGATTTCTCTGCTATTGGCTGGTTCTGGCTCTTCTCTTCAAGAAGCCGCCGCTCAAGCTGCCTCTTGTCACTCTTCTGTTTCCGAGGTAAAACTAAACTTCATCCTCTCGCTTCCTTCATGTGCTTTCTTTTCTGCTTGTGGGCGGCATCAATGTTTTTGCTTTTGTAGGTGCTCGTTGCTGATTCAGATAAATTTGAGTACCCTTTAGCTGAACCTTGGTCTAAATTGGTCGACTTTGTTCGGCGACAAAGAGATTACTCTCACATCCTTGCTTCCTCGAGTTCATTTGGCAAGAATCTACTACCTCGTGTGGCTGCTCTTTTGGATGTTTCTCCTATTACCGATGTTGTCAAAATCTTGGGATCCAACGAGTTTATCAGGTACAGTTTCCAAACTCTCTCTTGTTCTGTTTAGTTATGGGTGTGTAGTGTGAACTGAAACCGAGCTTAAATCTTTGACAGGCCTATATATGCGGGAAATGCTTTGTGTACAGTTCGTTATACTGGTTCGGGTCCTTGTCTGTTGACTATTAGAAATACATCCTTTCCTGTAACCCCAATAGCTGCAGACTCTGAGTCAAAGAAAGCTACTATCTCTCAGATTGATCTTTCAGAGTTCAAAGAAGGTTTGTTTAGTGTTCTCTTGTGCATTCCTGTTTTAAGCCTTGTTTTTTTCTTTATAAGTGAGTATGCTATTCTCCATTGCAGACTCTGTTAGTAGATCTAGATACGTGTCACAATCAACTCAGGATACAGAAAGGCCTGATCTTGGAAGTGCACGCGTTGTGATAACTGGTGGAAGGGCCTTGAAGAGTGTGGAGAATTTTAAAATGATCGAAAAGCTTGCAGAAAAACTTGGTGGAGCAGGTTAGTGTGTATGCTTGTCCTAATCACAATGGAATTGGAATTTGCCTTTTTATCCCCATTTTCTGTTTCTCGGATGTTTCAAAGTGTACTGTCTATTTGTACAGTTGGTGCCACTCGTGCTGCTGTTGATGCTGGATATGTTCCTAATGACCTTCAGGTAACATTTCTTGGATCTTCTCTTGGTTACATTCCTTCCACAGTAATGGCTTTTAAACTCCAATAAGAGTTTGTTTGTCCGCGTGTGTGTGTCAGGTGGGACAAACAGGGAAAATAGTAGCACCAGAGCTATACATGGCGTTTGGTGTTTCAGGAGCCATTCAACACTTAGCTGGAATTAAGGATTCTAAGGTGATTGTCGCTGTTAATAAAGACGCGGATGCACCTATTTTCCAGGTAACAAACACACGTTAAACCCTTCTTCTCTGCGTCAATCTAAGTCAGGACCAACAACTATGCTAAAAATGATTGGGTAATGAAATCGTAGGTTGCTGATTATGGACTTGTTGGAGACCTTTTTGAGGTGATACCCGAGTTGCTGGAGAAGCTTCCGGAGAAGAAATGAGAACCCTGAGAAATCGAAACCTGTCTCTGTTATTCATCTCCTAAGCTTTTTAGTTGCAGACCACAGTAAGTAGTGTGTGTATAGCAAAACTGTAATAAAAATGGTCTGAAGAATTATTGTCATGAGCTCTCTCTCTCCCACTTTCGATTCTTGACGCACAAAAAAAAAACCCATTTGCAAAGTAACTTTCAATTTGAATTTGTTTTTCTATAAATTTACTTTGTCAGTAACAGTAAAGGCTTAATACTCCATAACATCATATGATGGATTCAGGCTGTTCCACTTACACTTCATCTGAGTGGAAAACTATCTCTGTAAGAAAACTCTGACACACCATAAAGCCTAATAGCTCATAACTGAGTTCAAAACACAAACAAATGAAACAAACCAATCTTCAAAAGATACTAAAGCATGAAAAAACTACACAGTTGAGATTAAACATTGATATTCTACTTGCATGTGACTTGCAGAAAGCAACATCAAATACGCTTTAGACCAAAACGAGCTGCTGCAGATTCTCTCTGTTTTACGGTTTGCCTTAATTTCAACCGTGCCACATTTCTCCGTGCCTTGAGAATACGCACCTTCATCGACGATGCCAGCACCTTGAAATCGTGCAAACTCTTTTCAAAAGAGTCATTTCCATCATCACCCTCACCAACACCTTCGTTCCTGTTTTCAAAAGAGTCATCAACCATGTCTGCATATAATGCAAGCTTCAAACTGTCATCATCAACAGCATCATCTTCCTTCTCATCTGACCTCGCCTTTACTCCACCAACCATGGCACCATCTTCGTGGAGCAGAAGCTCTGGCTCTTTTCTGCCATCATCGGTCATAGTCACCTTCTCTACATTGCTTCCATATAGGGCAAGCTCATCATTACAGATTCGCCTTGTCTCTGGCAGTGACACAAGAAAGCCATTTTCTTCATCAAATTCAAGATCCACGAATTCAAGAAGATGATCCGAAGAGTAGGTTTCATAAATTGGGCTCACAACCATAGTCTTCCCTGCTTTGCTTCCGATTTCACCAGTCTCTTCCTCCCTTTGTTCGATTTTTGGTGGTGGTACAGTTTCATCTCCATCCGCTCTTATCAAAGCAAGATTTTGACGAGGGCCTGAATCATTGTTATCCGCCTCAAGTCTAGTCCTTTTACCAATATTACTCTCAAGTTCCTCGCGAACTCGCTTCGTGTGCTTCCCTCTCCTGACACAAATTTGCTTCACGCGCTGAGGTCTCTTGTTTGTCAAATCCTCAGCTATCTTGAATCCAGACCCGCTTGTTCTGCTCCTCTTAGTGCCAGAAGGAGTATCATCACCAATGAGGTTTGTTGCTTCCAATGTTTCAACAATCTGATTCTCCTCTGAAGCATACTGGAACACTGGGATATTCTTCCTCCACCACTCACAGAACATTGGATTAACACAAGGTGCTGCAGTACGAGAAGGGATGTACAATGTCAAATCATCAATAGGCTTATCGTACTCGTTCCAGGCTGCCTCCTTTGAGAGGTTGTTCCCAATCACAGGAGCTCGAACTTCCTGAAGCATCCCGAACTGTGAAGCCACCCGGTTGGGAAAGTAAAGCTCCAAACAGTCAATGCCAACAAGCTGAGACACCTTGATGCATCGATCAAAAGAGAGAAATTCATCGTCAGTGTTGGGATCAACAGGAACCCACAACGCTCTCTCAGGGTAAAACTTAGGAAACTCCCAGTTTTCCAAACGCTTTGCGTAGGGACGCCACTCAAAACTGTGCATTGTCGAGTTTTCGAGAATCTGCCTTACATTGCTCCTACTCCTTTGTTTCAGGTCACTCCAACGAGCCATTCTTGGCTCACCACTGAGCATCGGATTAGGCTTTGGCTGCAGCTCCTTGAACCTCTCACATGTCCAAACTTGGACCAACTTAAACAAGGAATTCAGAACGATTCTGTTGGTTTGCCTTGCTTCTGTGAAATCTCTAATGTGGGTTTTCAAGAGAGTAAGCTCTGCATACAAGTGAGCAAGAACAGCAGGGGCAAGAGCAATCCGAGTACCTCTTGAAAGGTGAACAGCAATTGGCAAAATGGCTCTAGGGATCTCATATAAGGATGGGAACACGAAATAGCTAAGCCACAACACAAGGAAAGCTATATGCTCAAGCTCATCATCATCACCACGGCTCATGAACCTCTCCATCCACACAACCTGGTTTATGAATCCGAGTTTTTCGCGCTTGAGCTTCAGCCATTCTCTAACGATTCTTACCTTTGCCTTCTCTCCTGAGCTATCGAAAGCAGCAAACACCGGCGAACCCAAAACAGAGAAACCTAAAAGCACCATGACGTCTTCGAGTGTTATGGTTGCTTCACCCCAAGGGAAAACGAAAGTTTTGGTTTCAGGACACCATTTCTCGGCGATACCAAGAACCAGATCTGCTCTCTTACGGATTCTCTTTGTGGATGCCACAACTGCTTCGAAAATCCCAGCTTTCTTCCAAATGGGTTCGTGCAAATAATACATTTTTGTAGCCCAAGACATGAAATTTCTGTGCGGAAACCTATACCCACTGAAGGAAACACTCTTAGACAGATTCAAAGAGTTTGATTCAGGAGGATACGCTGAACGATTTTGAAGCTGAAGAACACCTTCAGATCTATCAGTGGAGGTGGTGAAACAGGGTTTTAAAAGATGGGTTTTTTGGCTGTTCTCAGAGGGTATAACCATGAGTTGTTGTTGTCTATCTTCAACATGATCTTCAGCTGATGTTGAATCTTCCATGGAGACTGGAGAAGAAGAGAAAGCTTTGTTCTTTTCCACTTTTTTTTTTGTTTTTTGGTTTGAAATTTGAGAGTCCAGAAGGAGAAACTTTGTTGCTGGTTTTGCAGGGAGCTGGAATGGAACAGTTTCTTTTTAAGGTAATTAACTAATTAATGGAAGGTCTCATCAAAATACTTTATTTCAAAAACCTGTTTTATCTTGTGGCTCATATAATATCTTGCAAAACCATTATATTTTTCAAAACATATTAAATTTTAGTGACAAAATTTAGAATTTTTGTTTGACAAATATAATTGGTATTTACAATTTATCTGATAGTCACGCATTTGAAATGTGCCGAGATTGAAAACAGAAACTGCTTTTAACATTTTTATAAACCGATCGGCCTATTAATTCTCAAATCTTAGACCGGACTATAACCAAACCAAACTATAAACTACACACTTACTAAAATCCTACTAAAAGTAAATATTATATGAGAAGCCATGACTAAAGTTTCTTGTTTTGGAATTGAGATAATGTGACCTCTCAAAGTTTCTTCGCGCCTATTTCGAAAGCAAAAGTATTTATTTCCCCATTTCATATGAATTGATATGTACCAAGTAATTCACTGAATAATACACCTTCTATTTACATACCACAGTAAGTACGTAGTTATAATTAAAAAAAAAATAATAATAATAATAATAATAATAATAAGTAGTGTACATATAGCAAAACTGTAATAAAAAGGGTATAAATTATTTGTATCATAAGCTTTGTCTCACGTTTGATTCTAAAAGACGACCCATTTGCAAAGTGTTTAGTTTTCAATATGAATTTCGATTTTCTATACATTTACTTGTTGATAATAGTAGAGATTTTACATCAAAGAATCAGAAAAAAAATAAAAAATAATGATCACAGTTAAAAACTTGGAGAAAAGATTCATCAAGCAATAAAGTTAGATAACATCGATAAAGGAACTACGCAAAGTCCTCTCTTCTTCAATTCCGCAGAGAATTCTTCAATTATCTTTGATCCTGTGTCTGTTATGCATCCGCTCACCTATACGTTTCCCAAAGTTAAAAAGAAATCCTCGTTAGTCAAAAATCAAATTTAGATGAAAAATGGAAAATATAACATATGGAGTAAATTTTCATGCAACAAAATGTTTCTTGATCACGACTTCATGACCTTGTTCTGGGCCAAATGTCCAAAATTTCATTGTTAACAAAAAACAAAAAAATGGTTTCTTGATTTTTACCTTGGATGTAATATTGTCCATGGATTTTCCAAATCCTGTATTATCTTTCACACCATCCAACACACTAAAACCCTAAATAAACCCAAAAACAAATGTTAGAAACCTAGATTAACAGAAACAGCGAAATCATTTCCACAAATTAAGATACATTCATTTGTATAACCTTAGTTTTATTAGAAGGAGAAGAGGCTGTGTCTTCCTCTTCTTCTTCTTCTTCCTCTCCTTTTCGTTTTTCTTCTTCTTCTTCTTTGGGTTGATGAATGATTCGTCTCTTTTTAGGGTTTGTATTAATGTTGTTAGCCTTTCGACGAACAACATTATTAATCTTTGTGGTGTGCACAGGAGATGCAGCGTCTGAGATCATCGAGGAATCATTATCGTAGTAATGACTCATTTCTTCTTCGGTTTCTATCATTTCATCTTCATGATCAATATCTTCAAAGTATATAATCCAACTACTCTCTTCTTGATTTTCTTCTTCGTTTATTGTTCTGATTTGGTGATTAGAGAATACTCTTTGTCTCACGCAGTTGTTTACGGAGTTCTCCATTGAAGTGTTGGGGGTATGCAAAAAAAAAAAAAAAAAAAAAAAAAAGATGTGTATGTAAGTTGAGACTTTTGTTGGCAAATGATTTTGTCATAAGATAGGCTCTCATTTATATAGCAGAGAGAGGAAGATCATGGAAGTTGTAGGTGTGGCACATTTTGGTCCGTTTGTTCTTTTTATTATTTTATATAGTTTATAAATTGTATTGATTTGTTTTTTATACACCAACTAGTGTTGGATCTTAGACTTATGTACTTTTTCAATACGGAGACAGAATGGATCACAAGATTCAAAACACCATTCTAATTGAGGTAAAGAGAGGCTTGCGTTTACATGTGTTTACGTTTCACATTCAAGTTTTATAAAGTTTAAAGTAAAAATATATTGTGTTAACCTATAAATTTATATACAACAATAAAAAAGTATCCATATAATATATATATATATATATATATATATATATATAGTTGAGTTTCTTGATGTGCAAGGAGGAGAAGAGAAGGAGGGAAAGTGGTCGACCGTCTTGTGGGTTAGTGGATAATGTGATTGTGCACGTTTCACAGTTCTTGACTTCTTGTTGGTCTCTTATAAGTGAGTTTGCTAAATCTATTTTTCGCTCAGATTATACTATATTATCATATATCATATAACTAAAAAGAAACAAGTTAAATATACATTCGGCAATGTTTAATTGATTGTATTTATAAAAGGTGTATAAGCTAAGGCGTACCATCCATAACTAAACCACAAGATTCACTCATTGAGATTGAGAGTATCTGAGAATTTAAAATTGAGAAGACATACCAGATTATACCAATGGTTTCAAGATCCATGACAAACACCTGAGGAATTTTTGGATTGGGTTAATTAGGTCTATATATACATCATCTTTGCTACATTATATATCTTTGGATTCATCAATATAATACTTTCATATATATGTAATCAGATATTTACATTTTAGAATCCACTAGGTTGTTATATGAATTTCGAATTCGATCGAAAGAATAAAAGCTGATCACTGACTTCGATCGACCAACAAAGTGATCATTTTTTCAATAATTGGTTATCATCGGAATTATAATTCGTTTTTTGTTAATTAAAAGATATTCAAATTAAAGTAAGTATTAGAGTAATCGTTACGTATTCTATACATGAACCATCATACTGTCATCTCTCCTACAAACAGATTTACATATCTTTTGAGAGTAATTACCTCAAACAACAGAGAAAATCATTTTATGACTGAAATAACACAGCTAACTTTTTAATGATTAATGTCCATTTTACTATTCAAACAATACAGATTTCATGGAAAATGCCATTTGCCCCCTTTTAAAACAATTTATTTGAATGATTAATGTCCATTTATAATTTTTTTGACAAATAATAAAGCTTAAAAGAGAAAAAAATTATAAAAAATGACACTGCAATTGTAATATATTATATATAAAAAACTGCATTAGTTGAGTAACTCTCCCCATCTTTTAGTGATATATAAACAATTCTTTTGATAACTATCACACGATAAGTAGTTATGAATATTCGCTAGTGGCAACCACATATATTAACATCAGATCTTTTTCACCATGACGATATCCAAACTATCCCATCTAGGTCAAATTTTCGACACCTTAACATGCTTACGCATCCTCTAACGTCACACATTGTTCGCGTCACTAAAATTACGATATAGGAAGAAATATTCATAAGATTATCAAATTAAAATCCGTTTTTTTTACAAATTCAGACATTTCATTTTAATATTTCTTGGAAAGTGATATCAAGTATTAACAACCCAAATATACACGAGGTGGTGTATAATCAATCAAACTACATGCTCATTTTAACCCAATAAAAATTTAAAATAAAATTGTTCTTGCGCCGGACTTAAAAGGTTCAAGAATCGTGGACCAACGATATATAATATATGCAAACTATAGATTAATCATATACGTCGCTTTTTGTTATTTGGCCTTAACCTCACTATTACCTTCATCACGTTTCGTTTATTTAATTAGTTATATTTAGTGTTTTTAAAATATATGAAGACTAATTTCGCCTGCTAGCCACGTTATAAACCACCATTCTCGTTGAATCTTTATTACCACTTCCCACGAATTACATGTCCTGATCATTGACTCAACTAATTTATTTATATCAAGAAGTAAGAACCAAGTACTCTCTTGAAATCGTTCTTTTTTTGTTTTGCCGTCTCTTGATAATCATATGATTTCTAAATTTGCTCTACACACATGTCATCCAGTCTCTAGCTAGCTATTTTTATTTATTGTTACGTTATTATATTCTACAGCAAACTGATGGCATCAAGATTTGAGTTTTGGGACAACGGTTTCTAACTTTCTATCATGGTTAATCATTATGAACATTTTTAATTTGTATAAATATTCAGATATGTTGGTTGACACTCTTTGCTTTAAAGAGCTCACTTCTCCTCTTTTAATATTGTGTTATTTTTTCGATCTTGAACTATATAGGACTGGTTTACTTGGAACGCAATAATTCGGTGTCGTTTATTCCGTTTATGTAGGTTCTAGGGTTCTATACATTGACTCGAACTCTCAGATTCTTAATTTATATCGGTTGACAAAAATAAATCTACATGATCAAAACTATATATGTATGTGAAAAGAAAAGAACATTTGAGGGGGACAAAACATTCATTATAAGATTCTCGATTTTGTTTATCAAGAAGATTAATTAAAATAACAATTATCCATTTGTCGACTGATGTATTATTTTAAGTTCTCTCTTGTAACAGTGTGCTTGCGCAATATCTTCGTCACATTAGTGTGCTTACGTAACTTTTGCGCACCGTTTTTTTTTCTCTTTAATAAAAATTTAAATGTTTAAGAAACAAAATTAAAATACAAGTCGACCTTAGTTTATTTATATATCTATGATGATTAAAAGAAAGTTGTAGTTACCGTTGTAAGAGTAGTATATGGTCAACGTTACTAATCAGTTCGGTGGATTTTTGGATTGAGTAGAAAATTTGTCATCTTGGTCATTGGTCAACGTTACGAATCAAATTCCCCAAGTATCAAATAACTAACAGAGCAGCCCAATATTTATATGGGCTTATAAAACAACTGTTAGGCCCAATAAATTTATAAGCCCACATTGGTGAGTTGCACCTGGAAGGAGGTCGTGAGAACGCACACGATTGAAAGTTTAACCGGAGCCGGACTTTCAATCGCAACTTCGGCGACTGAAAAACCCTAACTTTTTTTTAAAAAAAATCTTTGTCTTTTCGATTTAGAGCAATTTCCAGAACCAGAATTTCATTGAGAATCTATTGAATTTTCCTGAAAGAAGAAGAACCCATGGATGATACACAAGCCAAAGCTCTAGAGGAGAAGATGAAGAGTCAGCTTAGTCAGCTTGAACTTGAGCACGCCGTGTTCGAGAGAATGGTTTACAAGAATAAGAACCAGCATCGGAGATGCTCTTATTTTCAGTACATTCTCAAGGTATCTTCATCGTTTTATCACCTGTTCTATTGGTGGATTCTGAATTTGAGAAACGAGAATTTGAATGTATATCCAATGTGCTTGTTAAATCAATTGGAGAAATTTTCTTTCTGTCAGCAATATTTGATTTTTGTTGCTCAGGTGAGAAGAGAGCTGAGACTTTTGCGAACGGCAAACATGGAGGAGATTCTGAGATCTTGCTTTCATGTCATCATCTCTGGGCAAAGAAGTAAACAAAAAATCCATGTTTTGGAGAGGTGGGTTTCTCTTTCCTATGTTGATTACTGATTTATAAGAACAGTGTGGGAGCTTAGCTTTGGTGTTTTCCTTTGGGGTTTATGCAGCTTGAAGTTGAAAAAATCTGATACTGGGAAACCAAATATCTTGGAACGACTTCTTGGAGCTCTTCGTTTACTCTCACAGGTATGCTCTAATCTATTTTTTTTTTTTTTTGCCTCTGGAGCTTTCTGTGTTGCTCGGGTAGAGATAAGCTGTGTAAGCGAGCTCTGATCATTCTGTTTGTTGCAGATGACTGAACCCATCTTGAAGGCAGCTAGGTATTGATTGATTTATGAATCAAAATGTTTTGTGTAATTTCTTTAGAGCTAATCACATTCAGTTCATAATTGTATAAATTCTTCAGTGGGATATCCGTTCTGCTAGCTTGTTCATTTTTCGTAGGATTCTCCATGACATTTTTGGCGCTGCTTGCACGGCTCCGAGTGTTGATTCAACAAGTAAGTTCACTTTATTGTAGGCAGTTTCTGTAATCCATGATCTAGTAGATACACGCTGTGATTGGTCTTATTGTTATTCTAGTCTAGTGTTCTTAGGTTTGTTCATTGTTTTGGGTTCGTGCAGATATTACTTGACGCTGTCTCAGTTTTCAATTCCGTAACCTCTACATCCTTGAAGAAACAGTCTGTAAAGATAGCACAGGATGGGGTTGAGGTTGGTCTAAGCTTCCTTTGCTTGATTCTTTCACAGTTCAATGATCATGCTAGTGAACTCTGTTTCCTCTATTTGAAACAATACAGGTGTTCCGAGAGTTTTATCCAAAGGATGAAGACTGCATCACCTTGTTGGATTGTGTATGGAAGACCGACAAATATGTCTTACTTGAGACATTGCAGAACCTTGTGACTAGTAAACCAATAGAAGAAAATGTTACTGAAGAAGCTACTACAAGGGATTGTTTGGTGCAGTATCAAACATCTGTTTCGTCCCTTGGCGGTAAGGACCTTCACATAATTACCATTTGGTTATTATTTTGGGTTCTCTTCTCTAGTTCGAATGCTGGTTATGTCCCTAGTTCCTAGAATCTAGAAAGAACCCTGCTTTTATTATTTAAAGAGCTCAGAGATTGTAGAGTTTGCGTTTTAGGTGGGTTTATTGGTTAAACCGTAGCAAGATCCAAACATTCTTTTTCTACTTAAACTGAAAGATTTGTGCTTTCGATTGAATTGTCCCACTTGCAGAAGATCTCTCTCCTTTGCCTGAAGCAGCAGACAACAGTGATGTTACTGTGAGAGAAAGTTCGACTCCCGTTGCTGAAGCAGCTACTTCCAAGACTAACAATGCGTTGCAACCGGAAGTTTCAGAAGATCCAGTAGATGCTACAACTAGGGATTGTTCAATTCAGTATCAAACATCTGCTTTTACTCTCGGAGGTAAGAATCTACACAGAATTACTCTTTGGTTGTTTATTTTCGGTTCCCTAGACCATTTACTGGTTATGTCCTTAGCGCCAATCCACTAACTAGGCTTATACTTGTTTAGAACTTCATGGTTTAGTGTTTCAAGGGCTCAAAGGTTAAAGGGTTTTAGATGGGTTTTATTACTACGGGCTTAGCGACGAGATACAGAGATTCTCTGTTTTGTTCACCACTGAAATATTCATGCTTTTGATTGAATTGTCCAAATGCAGAAGAGATCTCTCCTCCTCTGCTTGAAGCAGACGATGGCGTTACTGCTATAGAGTGTTCGACTCCTATTGCTGAAGCAGCTGGTTCAGAGACTAACAATGGAACACAAACGGAAGAAGACTCAGAGAAACCAGAAGATGTATCTACAGATTCCGCAAGCCCCGCAAAAACCAACACAGACACGATTAAACCGAGTTGCAGAGCCACTAAGGTGGCGTTTCTACCAGTGAAAAGACCTTTCTCTGCAATCACACCAAACGCCATAGAAGAACCCCCAAGGAAGAAACAAGAGACGAGCGAGAAAGACAAAAAGGAAGAAGAAGATGGATTTTATAATCTACTCATCCGCGGAACACATAAAGACAGTTTGTTCTAGCACAACAATTATCCAAAACCGAAAGAACACAATGTGTGTCAAAAAACCAAGATGGGAATCAAGCCTTTTGAGCTGAGTAGCCAAGGATCAAGTCACGGATCTCTTCGCTGCTGGCTCTGTCAAGAGCGGTTCTTCCATCAGCATCTTTGACCGAGTAATTAGCACCAGCTCTGAGCAGCTCCTCGATTTTAGGTCTGTCACCTTCTGTGGCGGCTAATATCAACAGGATGTCGACTGGGTGAATGTTTAGGTTTAGAAGAGCCTCCATCTTTGAGTAGGTACCTTCAACCGCAAGCATCCCCATGTAGTTGAAATACTGCAAAAACACATCAAGAACACATTTATTTAATGCATCAGTTAGAATGTTTTATTATTTCTCTTGCTCGTTAGTGCTACTTCATATCTACAAATGAGTTGAACTAAAGATCGCTACTAAAGTGAAGAACTTGAAGATTTGATTCATCAGAATCCAGCTTAAGGCTCTTTTCTTCTCTGTTCGAAACGGTTAAAACCTTATTCAAATCGATTTAATTTGAATTGAGCCACAGAAGAAGACGAACCTGTTCAACGTCGTCTTTGTCGAAGTCGTCGCGAGTCTGACTGCCATAGATTCCGGCACTCTCAGCATCGACGCCGTTTTTGCCGAACTTGAACCAGCAGGTGGTTCTTGACCCGTTGGAGGGTCCGAGTCTGGCTGGTCGGATCTGAAGCTTCAAGTTACGGGTTCCGAGAAATCGAGAGGAGAGCAGCCTCGGGGAAGAAGAAGGAGAACGATTAAAGGGTTTGGTGGAGAAGAGTGAAGGTGCGCATGAGAATGAGATAGAAGAAGAAGAAGCCATGACTGTCTCTCTTAATGCTCTCAAACTAAAGCAAACAGAAGCAGTGGTTTTGTTATCCACTCATTTTCCTCTTTTTATCTTTAAAATGAAAATAAAAATTGCAGATTAAATAATATCCACCGTTAGATTAGATTTCGTGTTTTTTTGTTCAACGGTGTAGATTTTCAATCTGCAACCAAAAAAATAAACCATCTATTTTTCTTATTCTTAACTAGTTTTAGAGCACAAATCATTTTTACTCTTTGAAAGCTTTGTTTCCTAAAATTTTTAAAAAGTAATTTTTGTTTACAAATCATTTTGTTTCTGTCAAAATAAAATCCAAAATTTAAAATTTTAACAAAACCAAAAATTCGCCATCAATTCAAGCTTGTGGGATTGGATATAATGTTATTCCTAAATATTGATTTAAAACAGAACATTTGTAGATAAAATAATTGAAAAAAAAAACAAACAAATAAAACAACTAAGCATGACATGGCAAAGACGTGGTCTCCACTCTCGAGAGAGACCCCAACAGAAATTTTCAGCATTGTCGCCGGAAAAACCAGACGTCTTCTTCCTTCTCTAACCTATTTCTTTTCCATGATAACGATGAATCGTTGATCGAAACTCAACATTAGGTTTCTTTTGAATCTACCCAGAACAAAAATCTCACAAATTAGCCATTGTAATGGCTCACCAAGCTCTCTGACACTCACAACAAGTCAAAAGCCCCCCACCATCGTATCTCCTTGTAATTGCGAATGGGCTCACAAAACGCTACGAAGCCATCGAAACCTGCAATGAAACCTTCAAATGCTTCCTCCTTCTCCGTCAGATCCTCCGTCGCGTTTTCGTCTCACTTGGCAATGGTGGAATTGAAGCAGAGGATCTTAACCTCCCTCTCTAGAATCGGCGATCGCGACACTTACCAGATCGCAGTCGACGACCTCGAGAAAGTCGTCGTCTCCGTCTCCGATTCTCCCGAAATCCTTCCGGTGCTACTCCACTGCCTTTTCGATTCCTTCGCCGATCCCAAAGCCCCCGTCAAGAGAGAATCAATACGCCTCCTCTCCTTTCTCTGCCTCACTTACTCCGATCTCACCTCGTCGCAGCTCGCCAAAATCATCTCCCACATCGTCAAGCGCCTCAAGGACGCCGACAACGGCGTGCGCGACGCCTGCCGCGACGCAATCGGGTCTCTCTCCGAGCAGTTTCTGAAGGAGAAGGAGGAGGGAGATGGCAATTCCACTGGGTCTTCGTTGGTGGGGCTCTTTGCTAAGCCCTTGTTCGAGGCTATGGCAGAGCAGAACAAAAGCTTGCAATCTGGTGCTGCGATTTGTATGGGGAAGATGGTGGATTCAGCATCGGAGCCTCCCGTTGCAGCTTTTCAAAAGCTCTGCCCTAGAATCGCCAAGCTTTTGAATAGCCCCAATTACATAACGAAAGCTTCACTCTTACCTGTAATTGGAAGCTTGTCTCAGGTTTGTGCAATGTGGTTTATCTCTTTTCTGCTTGGCTCTACATAAATACAATGCCTTTTAACATTTTTTCTTAGATTGAGATATAATGTATTTGTGCTCTGTCTCTAGTTTTGGCTAATTGTGTTTCTATGCTAAGAAGTAGGCTGATGATTCGAATGGCTTCTCTGTGTGAAGGGTTATGCTCAGAATTTTGGAATCATATGTAATCTAGAAATGATTTGGTCTCATTTTACTAGTAGATTGGTGTGTCTATATTTTATTGTTCATCTCTGATCTGCTTGGTGGTCAAAATCTACTGGGTCTTCTCTATGGATAATATAATCTAAGCTATGACATTCTTGCAGGTTGGAGCTATTGCACCTCAGAGCTTGGAATCATTGCTACACAGCATCCATGAGTGTCTCAGGTGTACGGATTGGGTTTCTCGTAAGGCAGCTGCTGATGTCTTGATCTCATTGGCCGTCCATTCAAGCAGTTTGGTTGCAGACAAAACGGATTCCACTCTTACAGCTCTTGAGGCCTGTCGTTTTGATAAGGTGACTCCACTTATCATATCTTTCCAGTAAAACTAAGTTCCTCTCTACTTTTTTAGGAGCTACCAATCTTAGTTTATAGCGATTAGCAATGGCTATGGTTTTGTCTTGTGGTCTTCCTGGCAGAGGAATTATTTGGCATAGATCTAAGGTTAGAAAGAAGAAATAATACAGCGCTTATGGTCATGAAAACATAGTTCTTTTCATTCGTCTTCCTTGTCTCTAGAACCTTATGTGTTAACCGTTAGCTGTGTTTTACTTCCATAAACTAAACAGAGCCAAAGTTACCAGAGGTTCGTTGTACATTGTAGTTCCTTTGTACGAAAGAATTTGCATAGATATGGTTTGCTCTGCTCTCAGATTGAAGACAATAAGTATATTTTGTCAAGCTACTTTGATCTACAACTTGTTTTTGCATAATTCCTAAAAGTGGCTACATTTGCTTTGGCTTGCAGATAAAACCTGTTAGAGAAAGCTTGTCCGAAGCACTACTTGCGTGGAAGAACATTTCTGAAAAAGGTGAATCTGGAACATCTGATGACCAGAAGGATGTGTCATCTGAGCAATGTATGTTGGAAAGGAATGGAGAAACCGATTCACTTTCAGGTGAGGGAGCAGGACCGGTGATGCAAGGCTATTCTGATGGTTTGAGCAGTAACTCAGATTCCATTTCGAAAGCAGTTCTCATCTTGAGGAAGAAAGCACCTCGTTTGACTGGCAAAGACCTTAACCCAGAGTTTTTCCATAACCTGGAAAAAGGAGGTTCAGGTGATATGCCTGTTGAAGTTATTCTTCCCTCTAGGCAAAAGAATTCGTCGAACTCAAACACAGAGGATGAATCAGACGCCAATACTTCAGTTTCAAGGAGTAGGTCAAAAGCTTTGTGCAAAACAGCTGGTGTCCATCCAAAACAAAGACATTTTGGAGATTTCGCAAGAGAAAAATGGGTAGATGAAAGAATGAACGGAGGCGAGTCACGGTTGAGAGCATTTGATGGAGATCAGACCGAAGTAATCCAGGCGGAGGCATCTGAAAACAGAGGGAACTGGCCACCTTTACAGAGACAGTTATTGCACTTGGAGAGACAACAAACACACATAATGAACATGTTGCAGGTACTGTTCCGATTTCAAATGAATACAGTGATTCCCTTTAAGGAAGTTTCACTCTTCAAAAGGTAATTTCCTTATCATTGCAGGATTTCATGGGTGGTTCACACGACGGCATGATAAATTTGGAGAACCGTGTTAGAGGTCTTGAGAGGACCGTAGAAGAGATGTCAAGAGAAATGTCCATACAAGGTATGTATAATTTGCTTGATCCTCCACGAGGTTAAAAACTGCATCCATTGGAAGAAAGATACTTATTAGTTCCTAAACGCTTCAGGTGTGAGGGGAAAGGCGGCTGCAACATGGAGGTCTGATGTAGATGGATGGGATAGTCCTACATATGGAGCTTCTTCGAGAAACGCTCAGATCAATACAAGAAGAACACGTGGCACTGGTCCTATGGACTCTGAGCACTCAGGTAACGGAAGAAGAGCTTGGGACAAAAGCTCTGTACCTATAAGACTAGGTGAAGGACCTTCTGCTAGAAGTGTATGGCAAGCTTCAAAAGATGAAGCGACTCTCGAAGCAATACGTGTGGCTGGAGAAGACGGTGGAGGAACGTCAAGGGCAAGGCGAGTATCGATTCCCGAAACAGAAGCAATATTGGACGGATATGACGATGAACGTGGAGGACAAGAGCGTGACACTGTCTGGACTTATTGGAGCAATGCGATGCACGCACTCCGAGTTGGTGATACGGATTCCGCATTTGCTGAGGTATTATCAACAGGGGACGATCACTTGCTTGTCAAGTTAATGGACAAAACCGGTCCTGTTCTTGATCAACTCTCGAGTGATATTGGAAACGAGGTTCTCCATTCTATAGCACAGTTTCTCCCGGATCATACTCTGTTTGATATGTGTCTATCTTGGATTCAACAGGTAACAAGATTCTTCCTTTTTTAATTTATTTCCGAAATTTTTATACATTCTCAAATATCTTTGAATAAACTCGATCGTAATGCTTTGTTTACATATTCTTTAGCTGCTAGAGGTAAGTGTAGAAAACGGAGCAGAGTCTATGGGAATACCATTGGAGTTAAAGAAGGAGCTTCTGTTGAATCTACATGAAGCTTCTTCAACAACGGATCCTCCCGAGGACTGGCAAGGTCTAGCTCCCGACCATCTTTTGGTCCAATTAGCATCTAATTGGGCCATCGAGCTCCAACATTTCGACCCGTAAGATGTTTGAAACATTACACTGTACAGATATGATTCTTTGATTCAATGACACGTCTCTTCTTTTTTATCTAAAAAAAACTAGTAACCAGTAGGACGAAATAAAATCAAGAAAAGGAATGATAAAACTATGAGAAAGACAGGAAAAAAAAAAAAAAAAAAAAACAAACTGGAACTGTTTTACAAAGACATGAGGCTCTCGATGTGATACGTACAACAATGGATCTTAACCCCAAGTGTGTTTCCGAGTCCACTACTGAGCCTAAATTCTTCGTCCGCAAATTCGACTCTTCTGAAGCACTTTCTCTTGGGATCATAATATAAAACATGAAACGGTGTATAAGTACTCCATGGTATGTACATAAACTCACCAGCATGAGTGATAGTATCTACGAGGAAATCGGTATTCAAACTCCAATCATAATGCAGGAGACGTGCACCAAAGTGCTTAAAACGCATTATAGTGCCAACGTAATTCGACCAAGCAGTACGGGATTTATAATACAAAACCCCCATTGATGCATCTCCCATTGTTTATGTAACAAAGATGCTTATGGTTGGTTTTGATCATTCTCCATGATTTTTGAGCTGATCCCAGTGTTAAAACCGCACACTCCTCGCAAACTTTATTAGGTTGCAATTGCATGCAGAGTACTTTGTGTTTACCTTCGATTGGATTGTATCCTAAAAAGCATGTGATATCGTTCCAGCTTTCTTCGGGTTTAGGTAAGATTAAGAACTGTCTCATTGTAGGGTTCCATATAACGGGGATTCCTGAATCTTGGAA